AGCGTAAGAGAAACTTGCTACCTTACCCATATTGGGCATATGTGCTTTGGTTTAACATATGTTGTTGGAATAAAATGTTTATATGTATGCATGAATAGGTAAAGGGGTTGTTATATATGGTACCCAATACCACATCATCCTAGAACTAGCATATATGCTTCTACAAAGTCTAAAACATGTACATCGAGGAAAGCCTTGGAAAATTCTACCTACTAATGCAAACTACAACCCATATGATGCAATGTAATAAAATAGACTGTGCATAAAATAAATAATATTTATTAATTGATTTGATAATTCACAAAAGACTCAGATTCTATATAAAATAAAGGTGAACAAAACAGGTCTCTAAGCCTACCGTATGTATATAATCAAATACGTCTACTTAATGCCATCAAGCTCTAAGTCTTATATGGTATTCCAAAAGAAAGTATCCTCAAAGGGTGATGATATTGTCTTTTGGAATTGCATTTTAATGTATTAGCAAGTATATTTGACTCTCTTACAACTCAGGATGCCGTGCATATCAATCAACGTACAATCTATAATTTATAGGGATTTCTACAAATACATCATTATAAAGTAAATTCTACTTTGAATTGTAGGAAATATAAAAAAAAAAATTATAGGAAGCATATAATTTACAAAATAATTATATAATATCCTAATGCAATCCTTAAAGAGCCTAAGTGCACCAACAAAAAAATTAAAATGTTTAGCATTTCAGATTGTATTAAATAAATAAACAAGCATAAGATGCTCACACAAAAAAATAGTTGAAAGAAATTCAAACCATTGGCCAAGCCTAAGATAAAGTTGGTTGTCCTAGCAAACCATCCAAGTGTTTGAAGGAGGATGTGTGGCTTTGGTTTTGTCTTATAGGACTTTAACATTTAAGTTGCTTGCATTTAAAGTGTTTATTAATTAAATTCAAAAGGAAATTTTAATTGAAATTTAGATTATATGAATTTGAATTTTATTAATTAAATTATTAAATGTTAGAATTGATTAATTTAATTTTAATGAATTTATAAGTTAATAACTCCAAGTGTGTGAGCTACTAACCCACAAATCCTAAAGTTTTATAATCAAAATGCAATTATCCCCTATATAAGATAAATAATAATATAAATCCCTTTGATTGTTTGTTAATTTATTAAGAGATAAAATATTGAACCCATTAATCCAATACACATACTGTCCAAGGGGAGTCAAGTATGATGTATAGGGTCAACGATTTTATTAATGGTTGATTTTTTTTTGAAGAAAAGCCAGAGCTTGCATATATTAAAAATGAGAAAAATAAGAACAACAACAAGGTTAATTCCTCCTTCAAAATATTATAGAATGAAGGAGGAACCTTATTCAAAGAAAATTCTTCCCAACTAAAACTACTAAAAAGAGCATAGTTAGCACATAAATTTGCTAACTTATAACTTTCCCTACCTATATGATTGAAAATGAAAAAAATTAAAATTCTTAAGAAATCCAATACCCTCTTCATTATAGTTTCCTTTTTTCCAAGTTCTTTGAGGAAAAGAAACAATATTTGAATTATCCCCTTCAATAATGATGCCTTTGTATTTGATTATCCAATCCTTGATTTCCACCTTCAAAGAATGAATTGCTAGAAGCTCCAATTGTGCTATGTCCCAATGAACACAAGATCTAGCATAAGAAAATAGGAATCTCCCTTTGTTGTCCCGAAAAACTCCAGCTATCCCTGTTGTATAAGAAGAAAGTAGAGATGCGTCTACATTAACCTTTAGCCATTTAGGTGGAGGAGGATGCCAAGTATTAGAAAGTCTGAACGACTGGTTAACATCCGAGTGGTCCAAATTAAAATGACTAAAGCTGTGTGAAACCTAAGCATAGCATATGGCATTGGAAGCAACAAAACTAGGACTATCCTCCACTCCTTCGTGAATCATTTTATTCCTACCTTTCCAAGATAGGAATACTGCATTGCAATGCAGTTTAAAAATATACCTTTCTTCATTGCAATAGCTTCCAGCCATCTGAGACATTCTTCAATCTTAACAAAAATTGGAATTCCAAATCCCCATTAGTTTAGATGATAAATTACCTCTTTAAACTTCAAGCATCCACACATAATATGCTCAACATGTTCAATTTCATTGCATCCCCTAGTACATCTAGCATTCTCTAGGAGTCTTCTATAACATAAAAATTGAAGAGAAGGGATTGCATTTCTACTTAATCTCCACCAAAACACTTCCACCCGAGTATTCAACTTAGTTTTTTGATCCACTCCCAATTCTGAAGATCACAACTCTCTTGCACCGAAGCATTTAAGGCTAATCCAGTAATAGAAATTCCAAATTTTTGATGAATCAGCTCCATTTAATCTTCCTCCTTGTCTTGTATAATCTTTACTTGCATGATCAAATTTACTATCTCCCTTCCAAAAGTTTCCAGGAGCACCGGTTCATTCCAACAGCCATCAAGTATGAACTCTTTGATAAAAACAGCTCCATCCTCATGTGCAACAAATGTAGGCCACAAATTAATATATTTATCCAATATCCAATTATCTATAAATGCATCTACTGAATCTCCATTCACTAAAGACCATCTCATAATAGGTTTTAACATTTTGTATCCATCATTCAATAATTTCCAAGAGGAAGAGCATCTACCTCTACCACTTCCCTTATCAAGCCTTTCACCATATTTAGCCACCATTACCTTGTGTAAAAGAGAGTCTTTGCCTTGTATGAATCTCCATGCCAATTGAGCTCTCAAAGTAGGAGTTTTTGTAACATTAGAATGCAACCCTCGGCCACCTCTGTAAATTGGTTTGCACAATTTAGTCCAACTGATATAGTGCAACCCCATATATCCATTATTCTTATTCGAAATGAAGTTCCTATAGATTTTTTCAAGTTTGTCCAACACTCGTTTTGGGACAAGTGAGTGTGTAGCATGAAAAGTAGGGAAGGATAACATTACAGATTTTACCAATATCAACTTACCTGCCAGTGATAAGATTTTACTTCCCCATAAATTAAGCTTCCTCAAGGCTCTATCTATAATGAACTGGAAATCATCAGTTGTAAGTCTTCTTAAAACAATCTTCAATCCAAGGTAGTTGAATTCTTTTACCGTTTTGAAACCCATTATTCTTGAGATGCTTTTCTTCTTCTTCCTACCCACATGTTTACCAAATAACATGGTAGATTTGCTCTTATTTATACGTTGGCCTGTCTATTCACAGAAGTTTTTAAGATGTTCTTAACTCCCTTAACAACCTTCCTTTTAGTTTCAGACCATGTTATCACATCATCTGCATAAAGTAAATGGGAAATTCTCAGCCCAATTGAGTTGATCTTGATACCACAAGAGCTTTGAGCAAAAGCATTTAAAAGTAGTTGAGAGCAAAGTATAAAAAGGAGAGGAGATGAGGGACACCCTTGCTAAAAACCACTCTTAGCTTGTATCCAATTTGATCAATTACCATTGATTATTAAAGAAAATGTTGGATCTTCCACACACTCCATGATGAGTTTGGATATCTTTGTAAGAATGTCAAAATACTCCAACACTTTCCTAAGAGAAGACCAAGACATGGAATCATAAGCTTGTTCCATGTCTACCTTGAAGGATACAAGACCTTTAGCAGCTTTTGAGAACCTTAGTTTGTGAAAAATTTCTTGTGCCACCAACACATGGTCAGACAAAGACCTCCCCTTGATGAATACCGCTTGCTCCTTAGAGATAAGCTTTGGAATAACCACAATTAGTCTGTTCAATATTACCCTTGCCCCTACCTTGTACACAATATTGCATAGACTTATTGGTCTATAGTTAGATGGGAGAATAGGATTTGATACCTTCGGTTTAAGCACAATCAATGTTTCCTTCCATTCTTTGTTCAGCTCCCCATAGCAAAGGAAATGACTTATTGCCTTCCAAAAATTAATTTTAATGATGGACCAATATGCTTTGATGAAATAGTTTGAAATTCCATCTTTACCAAGTGAAGTATTACCTCCCAATTGATTTAGAACACATTCTACTTCTTCAATAGTAAATTCTTCCTCCAGGAATTCCATGTCCCATTTGTTCAGGCAAATATTAGAAACCGGCCATCCATATAGCTTGCAATTTCTTGCATCCCATTTTTATAAATGGTTGATTAAAGGGTTAAAAATTTAGCTATAAATTTTAATACTAAAATACCATCCAAAAAGGAATCAAGCATTCAGCATAAAAAGCCTTTAATTAATTAATATTAATTCTCAAATTTATTTGATTAAAAATCAATTTTAATCAAATAAAAGTATCAAATTAACTTTATTTTTATGTTTTAAACTTATGTTGATTTATATTTATGAAATTTTTTGGAAATTTTAACTATTTTTTTATTAATTATTAAATAATTATTATTATATTTTATTCATTTATAATTTAATAAAAATTAGTTCTCGATTTTATTTTTTCTTGATTGTAGATGTTGATTAGAGTTGATTAAAATTAAGTTTGCATTTTTATGAATTTTATTTGATTTATTATGTTTTCTTAAGTTTAAACCCTTAATTAAGGGCTATTTTTTATTTAATTATTTTTATGGTCAATTATTGTCAATCAAGGTACATGTAATTTCTTTGGTGTATGATGACTTTAAGTTTACTAAGTTTATGTGTCACTCCTATTTGGAGTGTAATTTTAGATTATGTGGCCCTAGAATAATTAAAGCTAGAAATATAAATAGTGTTGTCATACAAAACTCTGGAGGAAGATTGTAAGGGACGAGTATCACGGGCCAACATGAGTAAGGTGAAGCAGATTGGCTAAATGTGATAAAACACTCTACACATAAACCTAATCTTATATTTTTTGATTATGTGTTTAAGTTAGGATGTGTGCAGTCAAAGTGATTTTAGTTTCTTCTTTTAACAGATTTGTCTTAACACCTATTTGCAAAATGTGTTTGTTATGTCACCTCATATGTGCAACAGAGTTCATAGATGCACTTAAACATTGTAGTCTAAGAATTATGGATAAGTATAATATTTTGTAGATTGGTATATCCTTTTACTTTCTTTTCAGCCCAAATTTTGGTTTAAATCTTGGTGTATTACAATGGCATTATGCAATATCTAAAAAGTAATCTTTATAGTATAACATGCATTTATTAACATAATAAACTATTTTTGTATATGCCAAAGCAAATTTGGAAACCAATTTCTTAGTCTGATATAGATATGTAAGAATTATGTTATCTGTCGGGTAAGTTTTCTTAAGCACCCTAATAAATTGATTAAAATATTCATAGGGTATATTATATCATATCTTGATGCTTAACATCTTTACAAAAATTGATAGCTCCGAGTGAGTAGTTCTTCCCTTCCAAATAAATTATTGAGCAACATATAATAAATCTTTGAAGTTCTGGGCTACCACATTTGGTGACTCTTCAATATATTATTCAAATTGTGTCCCACTTGCATCATAAACTAAGTCCTCAAGCATTCAGATGTTTTCTTTCTCAACTATAATAAAACTTGTAGATAGGCCACATCGAGAGTTGAAATGTGAATAGCTAGCTGTACTCACCATGAGAAGTCCAATACAAATATTTTGGCATGAATCCATTGTGATATAGATAAATGATTGCCTGATATGTTGTGAGGTTCACCAAATTTTTATGTTTAAATTATGGATAATGAAACTTTCCATTCGAGATAAATCAAGGCAATTGATAGGATGTATGGATGAAAAATTCACCTTGTAATGAACTCATATATTAAAGTTTTTTCATCCTAGCGCCAATCAGTTATACATCCAACTTTTTGATTCCTAATATCCATAATATGAAGAATTGTCCAACAAATAATATGAAGTTATTATAGAATGTATGTGCAGATCTATCAAAATTATATATGCGATATGCTATGAGTGTATAATGATATGTTACAAGCAAAGCCTATGGGTATTGCACATGAGTCAAAATTTATTTTGTTATGGTATGTTATTTTATAGTATATTAATGCATATTTAATTTTAAAGAATTCATAGAGATCCTAAACACAAAATTTGGTCCATAAGATCAATGGATACTTAATTTTAAAGTTATGGAAATTAGATGGTGATTAAATCCATGAATTAACACATTTCTATAGTTGCCTTCCAAATGTACTTGCATTTTCAACATGATAAAAGCAAATTGGATGTTTGAAAATAATAGGCCATAGTGCTACATTAACATTGATCATAGTCATTGATCTAATATTAAATGGATGGGATTAAGGATTATAGTTCATAAAACCATATGATAAAATTAGGATTTACCATTAAATTTCAAGGAAATAAATAATCTTTATTTCATTTTCATTTTATCTTTTCATACATTATAGATTGATCCATGCATTTTATTCTACTAAAGCCTATCAAGTCGATATAGGAGAATCCAACATACTAGAATTAGCAATCCAATGACTAGAATTTTATTGATTAATCATTCTCTTCATAATAACTCATACCCTTAACCTACTGAGTTTGGGATTGAAGAATACCATGGTGTAGTGGTGAATTAATTAGAGTTATGCATAGTTTGGATTGGTCTACATGTAAGGAACACTTCTTCTTCAGGAAATAGCTACTAGAAGAAATAGTTTTAAACATTAGCTCTTAACCATTATAACTTTACTGGAGCATGGTTGATATTGCAGTTGGAGGGCTCTAGATTAAGGCAGAGAATAAGAGAGGGTTGGTTTCTCTCACTCTTAGGAAATTCAAAATGAACTAAAGGAACAATGCCCCTTTGGGAATTTGAGTATATAAAATGATTTGGAAAAGTGAATAAATGCTCATTCAGCCATGGTTAGTTATACTAGGGCATTAGGCTTATTCATATCCTTCCACTATAGTGCATGCATGTGTGAGTTTGGGAGCTTAAGTGTTCTATTTTGATCAAATGAATGAGATTGCATGAATATGACTTGAGTTATAAATTTTTCCAGTTATAAATGATTCAAAGTATATAGAATCCATACAACTTACCATACACTAAATGTTTCGATAAACATGCATATTGTAACCAAAACTATATTTGTGTCTTAAAAAATTATGGAGAAAGATGTCCAATAAAAATCAATAAAGAACAAGAACAGAGCACTGGTGATGATTGAGTGGAAACGGTCACCAAAGGTGAAAGATGACAAAACCACGTACATGATTTTCACAAGATTGGAATTCAAGAGAAATCCCAGGAGGCAGAGAGGCAGATGATCATGTAATAAGAAGGAAGATGGGATAAGTTTTGTTTAAAAGGGTTTTTCGATGGCATTTTTGGTGGATTATCCATTGGTTCCTTTATGGTAGAAGTTCCACTAGAATGAATTCAACGTGTTTAAGTAAGCTGGTAGATATTATGCTAGCACAGTCACCAAAATTATTTTGGTAAAATGTCTACCTGCACATTTCACCTTCTTTTAGTAAATCGGTGGATTAACCAAATGATTGTCCACCAAAAATGTTTTGGTGGAATATATACTGAAATCATCACCATATAGTTTCCATAAAAAATCTAACTGGTATTTCCGCTAATATTTTTTGTTGTCTTCTATCTATCAAAAAGTCAGTTGAAAATAATAGTTTTTCATATAGTGAAGAAATTGAGGTTACAAAATTCTTTGTCATGCTATCATATTATTCCAAATATTCTTCACAAAATAATTAAGAAAGTAAACAAAGAAATAATATGTTTACCAAACAAATAATAGATTTTAAGATTAATTCAACATTATTCCAAATAGAAATGTTAACATGTCTATATACAAAGATGATGATAAATGAAAATTTACAATATCATAAGAGTATTTTAATACTTTGCAATTCATCACCGTTACAAATTGATATGATAAGAAAAAAAAAAAACATTTGATCTACTCTTATCATAAGGATTCGATAGCTCCTTTCTATCATTAGCTACAACTTTTATGTTGAACAAGAGGAATAAATATATATGCATGCTCAACATAAATTATTCAATTTGATGCATTAAAATGATCAAATCCCTTAATATAATGTACAATTCTCATTATAACAATAATTCCAAACTTAAACATAGTTTTGAAGCATGACATACACATTGAGTTTGTATTTCAACTACTATTCATTTTAGTATAAAAATAAAATTATTCATGTAAACTATGAAATTTGTCACAACTTAGGAAGTAATTGAAACATGGATATACATAAGAATTTTCTCAAATCATTTGGTTTAGAACTTTGGGAAAGAATTTACATATAAATTTCCCTAATTAGTTAGAAGTTGCATGAAATAAACTTTGAATTAACTTGCATTTTAATTTAGACTTTTCTATACAAAAGTTAAATTACACAAGAATAAAATGAATCCCCAATAATGCAACATTTTCTCTCAGATTTTATAAATAAAATTGGCTTACAAATCACATCATACAAACCATAGATCAACTCATATTAAAGCTACCATTCATTTAATTTTTTTTTTTTAATTTAACTACAAGCAAATGAGATGAATGCATGATGCCCTCTCATTTTTTTGCTGAAAGTTAGTTAGGGAGGTTTGGCCCTTATGAACTGGCCCAAGGCTAACCAAGAGGGGGGGGTGAATTGGTATTTTAAACTCCCTCACAAGATCCTCTCTCCCTCTCTCCTCTAGGCTTTCTAAGGTCAAGACAGCAGCAAAAGATTATTCAAAACATTGAACAATAGCCCTTAAATAGAAGAGCTTTAAAATAGCTCATTAATTGCAAGTTGTCGACATTATCGTCCAGGATGATAGTAATATCATCCTGTACGATCAGTGTAATTTGAGCCTAATCAGCCGGGACGATCTTGGACAAACAGAAGAAAGTTATTCCTATCGTCCAGGAAGATTATAAATTGTCCCGTACGATTAGTTCAAATCACAGATTATCAGCCAGATAACTGCTCTTAAAAGAGTTTTGAACGATTCCAAAATAGCTTTATCATCCGGGCCGATCTCACGATCGTCCCAGATGATTAGTTCAAATCAGAGGAAAATCATCCAGAGCATCGCTCGGAATTTGATCTGGCCGATCCT